CAGTATTACCGGTATGTCTCTTTCTCAAGCATGTCTTTTTAGCGAATTTAGTGAGAGAACTAATTTGCTAATTTAAGTCGCTAATGACTTCATTATGAATTCAAAATGACGGCCAGACACACACACACACACACTTTGTACAACAAGGTTATATTTTCTTACCGTACTTTGCATCTGAAGTTAGCTTGAACACTTTGGTGTACTGAAACAGAGGAAGACAACATTTGGAAATCAGAATTCACTTTAGTTGCAAATGGCCGCCAAGATCTCATTTACAACCATGAGATTTTTGTTTTTTTCGCCTCAAATAGCATCTCATTTTCTTCTGTCACAACATTAACCTGTACTGTCCCACTGATCTACGAAACCATGAGACAACAAACGTGATGACTGAAGTGAATTAACATTTGAGAGGTAAAAATCAAGTATTGGGGTTCTCTCGCTCTCAGCGAGATCTTGGCGAATTCAGCGAATAAACCTTTTTTTCCTACATTTTACATTCAACTCATCAAAAATTGGTGAAAATATACACCCAAAATGTCTTTATAGTGAAAATAAATTTTGGCAAAAATATTTTACACTAATTCATTACCCTTTTCACCACCAGTTCCCTCTTTTCATCACAAAATAGTCCTGTTTATAGTCTGTATTTTCTTTCAGAAAATTGGGGACAAAACTAGCCAAATCTGTTGAGTAAAAACTCCAAAATTAAGGTTCATTTTCAGAAATATTAAAGTAGGAAAAAAAGTGCATAAAATATTGGGCGAGAAAGTCTGGTGGTGTAAAAGTTAAAGCAATGATTGACAGGGATTAATTTAATAATATCAGTATTCCAGAAGAATTGAAAAGTGATGTTCAAGAGAAGACGTACTAATAAGACAAGTTGGTGAATACTTATACAAAATATTTGAAATCAGAAATAACAATAACTGACATTTTACTTTTACTTTAGTTTTATATGTATTGTACATTATTACTAACATTTTATTGCTGTCAACCAATAGAAACTATTTCTAAGGATGCAATAAATTCATTATTATAAACATATCGAAATTCTGCAGAGTAATTTGCCTACATATGTCTCATATTTGTAACTACTACTGAGAAAAAGTCAAATTTATTATTTATTTAAATTTTTTTATAAAAAGACAAAACCATTAGATAACCAGCTTCAGACTATTAGCCAGGAATTTAATTGAAACTGCCAGTCCAAAAAAATTCAACTTCATGAAAATGTAGATGGTTTTGGATACATTTTGGTAAAATTATCAAAGAACAATGGGAAAACACAGAAAAATGGGAAAAAAGTTGCCAGTCCAAAATCAAAGTTGCAAGTTCGTTTGGTGGGTGGACTGGTGGATGGCTAACACCCTGACGAGCTTGGAAGTTAAATTAAAATTGAGCTATTTTGTAGAGGTCAATTCAACTTACATCAATGGAGTCTCCAATTAATTCTTTTATGACTTGAGCACACAGTAGCTTCATTTTGATAGATGTCTGAAAAAAAAAAAAAAAAGAGAAAAAAAATGTGTCAGAACATATAATGCTTTCATATGGAGCAATGACATTTGACCTGATGTATGATCTGAGATAAGCCAATCAAGTTATACTTAATTTGTATATTTTGGTATTTAGTTGTCCTCGTTAAAGCCAGAGGATCATCACCTGCGCACGCGCGGGAATTGAGTCCCAAGCGATGATAACAACACATGCAAAAAACGCAAAGGCTCATGGGTAGACGCTTGTTTGTAAACAATGACACGCTATGGCCATCTGACGCATGCGCAGGTGACGACTCCCCCCGCTTAAATATAAGTGTACTCACAATTTTAGACAAGGTGGCAATTTCTGCCAGTACCCAGTCTGGGCAATCCAAATCTCCACAGAACCTGAATCTCTGCAAGACAAAAAAAAAAAAGTTCATCTCATGTCACATTGAGAAAAGTTAACAATACTACTGAAATAGGAAGGGCGCCCTCTAAAAAATGTAGAGCGCCCTCGTGTGGTGAAGACAAAATGTTGAGGATATATTTACAAGATAAAATTGTAGGGATCAAGCTATTAACAATGAAAATAGTCAAAAACACAATTTTCAAAACTACACAGTGCACAGCCTGGCAAATGAAGCATTTATTTCTGCACTACATTATAATCAAGCAAATAAATGTAGAGTCAATAGCGTTTTGATTATCGTCAATAACAAAACTAATAACAAGAGAGTTCTTTGGGACCCTACTCCCTAGGCAAGCCTGATGTACTGTAAAACATGTCTTTTTCGCGAGCATGTCTTTTTAGCGAATTTAGCGAGAGAACTGATTCACTAATTCAAGATGTCGCTAATGACTTTATTATAAATTCAAAATGGCCAAGGCTTGGGGATTTGTATACAGTAATCCGGAACAGAAAATTCTGGGGCATACCTAATTTAGTAACTAATTTTTTTTTTATGGAGGTGATAACTGTGCATTTGTTTTGGCGCGCGACAAGTATTGTGAAAACAGGAATCAACAACTGAACGACAAAAACATTTCGCTATTACATCATTTTACCACAATTCGCTTTTTCAACATGTTTTACAGTATATATCGATTGATGGGTGCTGAGATACAATGTAATATGTAGCTTTGGTGACTAACAGAAAAATTTGTTGTCATGGTTGCCAATCTGAACAGAATTTATAATTTTTATGGCCACTGACAGACTGAGCAAACCGTCA